AGAGAGAGAGAGAGAGAGAGAGAGAGTAGGAAATAGACACGGAGAGAGAGAGTGTAGGAAATAGACACGGAGAGAGAGAACGATGGAGAGGCTATGGAGCGGCAGAGTGCACGAGTTGGTCAACATTTTATACAGTAATTAACGTTGACCTGGCGCGGGCCTTAGACTAGAGGAACGTTGACTTCATCCTGGGCTCGGGCTGGTACCGATGTTGACATCGGTGTGGACCTGGCCCTGGTCTTGCGTTTACCTGGTCCCAGAGTAGGTCTCGATCGTGGGTGCTGGGTCCGGGCCCAGGTTTAAGACGTTGCGCAGACCCATGTCCACGCTCTGACAATTTTTGTTGGTTTTTTTTTTTTTTTTTTTTTTGTCGGACCTGCGTCCGTACATACATGCCAGGCTTGCACCCAGACTATGCGTGGACCTGTGTCTGGACCTAGAGTAGACCTGAACTCCTGCTTGGTGTCAGGGGCATGAAGAAGCCGGTACCTTAGCGTGGACCTAGGACAAGACCCATATTGGGGCCGATCCTTGGTGTTGGGCCCAGGCGTGGGCCTATACCCCGTGGGCCTAGGTGCAGGCCCAGGTCGCCCGTATTGGGCCACGTCCCGGACTATGTATGGACTTGAGGCTGGACCCATACTGCACGTGGACTTGAGGTGGACATGCGCCTGTTCTCAGGCTTAGTTGGGTCTATGCCACGATCTGGAGCTGGACCTGGCCTTGGACCTGAGCGTGGACCTGGCCTTGGACCTGAGCGTTGACTTGGGCGTGGACCTGAGCTTGGACCTGGGCCTGGATCTGAGCCTGGACCTGGGTCTGGACCTGCGCATGGAGCTGATCCTGGAACTCGGCCTTTTCTCATGTTGAGCCGGGTGCGGAGCCTGGTCCTCAGCGTGGATTTGAGGCTGGACCTGACCAAGGCGTGGACCTGAGCCTCGAGCTGAGCATGGTGCAGGCGCAGATGCAAGCGCAGGTGCAGGCCCAGGTGCAGGCCCAGGTGCAAGTGCAGATGCAGGCCCAGGTGCAGGTGCAGGCCCACACGCAGGCCCGGATGCAGGCCTAGATGCAGGCCCAGATGCAGGCCCAGATGCAGGTGCATATACAGGCGCAGGTGCAAGCCAAGATGCAGGCCCAGATGTAGGCGCACGTGCAGGCCCACGTGCAGGCCCACATGCAAGCCCAGGTGCAAGCCCAGGCCCAGGTGCAGGCCCAGGCCCATGTGCAGGCCCACGTGCAGGCCCACGTCCAGGCCCGCATGCAGGCCCACGTGCATGTACAGGTGCAGGCCCAGGTGCAGCCCCAGATGCAGTGCCACGCCAAGGCACACACCGATGGGACACCCAAGTGTTGGTTGTCGGAGGACCAAGCCATCCCGACTCCCCCGGCCTTCGCTTGGACCAGCTGCAGGTCCAGGTGCAGGTGCAGATGCAGGCCCAGATGCAAGCCCAGGTGCAGGTCCAGGTGCAGGTGCAGATGCAGGCCCAGGTGCAGGCGCAGGTCCCGGTGCAGGGCCAGGTGCAGGCGCAGGTGGAGGTGCAAGCTGAGGTGCAGGTGCAGGTGCGGATGCAGGGGCAGGGATAAGCCTAGATGCAGGCGCAGGTGCAGCTCCAGGTACAGGCCCAGGCCCAGGTGCAGCTGCAGGTACAGGCCCAGGCCCAGGCCCAACTACCCAACTACGCAACCACCGAACGACCCAACCACCCAACTAYCCAACCACCCGACCACCCAACCACCGAACCACCCAACCSMASRACCMMCCMACCACCCAAGCGCGGAACCACCCAACGAACCAGCCATCCACCCAACCACCAACCACCCAACCAACCACACAACCAGCCCGGTGTCCGGTTCCCGGGGTTGGCATTCCGCTGATGCGGGTCTGTACCCGTTGACTTGGGTCTGGGCCCGGGTTGCTAATTGGGTCTGGGCCTGTGACCCTTTTGAGTGGGGTATGGGCCAGAGTCCCAGACCTGATTTTTTTTTTTTTTTTTTTTTTGGCACGGACCTGGACCCATACAGAGCCTGCTTTATGTGTGTCTGTACGTCTGTCCGTCTGCCTCTTCTGAAAGCCCTGCCCTAGAGCTCTGGATAGGCGCAAACGTGGACCCATACATAGCCTGTTGTATGTGTGTCTGCGCGTCTGTCCGTCTGCCTGTTTTGAAAGCCCAACTGTAGACCTGTGGGTCTGGGCCTGCGCCCCTTTGAGTGGGGTATGGGCCCAAAACTGATTTTTTTTTTTTTTTTTTAGCACGGTAAGCAAAAAGTCTCTCTCTCCGCAGATGCAGACCTGCAGGTGCAGATCCACGCCCAGGTGCACCCGCGACAGCGGGCCTGCACCTGGGCCCAGGTGGAGCCCCAGGTGCAGGCCCATGCCTAGGCCCACGTGCAGGTATAGATGCACACCCATGTGCAGGCCCCGCTGCAAGCCCCGGCCCAGGTGCAAGTCCTGGCCCATGTACAGATGCAGGCCCATGTATAGGTGCAGGCCCGCTGTGCAGGCCCAGGTGCAGGCCCGCTGGCGTACACCTGGGCCTGCACCTGGGCCTAGGTGCAGGCCCGCTGTGGAGGCCCAAGTGTAGGCCCAAGTGCATGTACAGACGGAGGCCCAGGTGCAGGCCCAGGTGCAGCCCCGGGCCCAGGTGCAAGCCCAAGCCCAGGTGCAGGCCCACGTGCAGGCCCACGTCCAGGCCCGCATGCAGGCCCACGTGCATGTACAGGTGCAGGCCCAGGTGCAGCCCCAGGTGCAGTGCCACGCCAAAGCACACACCGATGGGACACCCAAGTGTTGGTTGCCGGAGGATCAAGCCATTCCGACTGCCCCGACCTTCGCTTGGACCAGCTGCAGGTCTTGCTGCAGGTGCAGATGCAGGACCAGATGCAAGCCCAGGTGCAGGTCGAGGTGCAGGTTCAGATGCAGGCCCATGTGCAGGCGCAGGTCCCGGTGCAGGGCCAGGTGCAGGCCCAGACTCAGGTGAAGGCGCAGGTGCAGGTGCAAGCTGAGGTGCAGGTGCAGGTGCGGATGTTGGGGCAGGGATAGGTCTAGATGCAGGTCCAGGTGCAGCTCCAGGTACAGGCCCAGGCCCAGGTGCAGCTGCAGGGACAGGCCCAGGCCCAGGCCCAACTACCCAACTACGCAACCACCGAACGACCCAACCACCCAACTACCCAACCACCCGACCACCCAACCACCCAACCACCCAACCGCAGAACCACCCAACCAACCAAGCGCGGAACCACCCAACGAACCAGCCATCCACCCAACCACCAACCACCCAACGAACCAGCCATCCACCCAACCACCAACCACCCAACCAACCACACAACCAGCCCGGTGTCCGGTTCCCGGGGTTGACGTACCGCTGATGCGGGTCTGTACCCGTTGACTTGGGTCTGGGCCCGAGTTGTTAAGTGGGGTATGGGCCAGAGTCCCAGACCTGATTTTTTTTATTTTTTTTTGGCACGGACCTGGACCCATACATAGCCTGCTTTATGTGTGTCTGTAGGTCTGTCCGTCTGCCTCTTTTGAAAGCCCTGCCCTAGAGCTGTGGATAGGCGCAGCTCTCTCTCTTTCTCTCTCTCTCTCTCCCTCTCTCTCTCAGAAGAGTCTGTGTCTCTCCCTCTCTCTCTCTCTCTCTCTCACATACACACACACACACACACACACACACACACACACACACACACACACGCACGCACACACACACACGCACACACGCACACACATGTTCGCCGAAAATCACTGGTTAGGGCATATTCAGGCTTGGCATTGATAGCTGAGGCAAGTACTGGTGGTTTAAGAGCCCAGGTCGTGAATACACCCAGATTGGGCGTGCACTGTCGGTGTACGGTGCATGATCGGGCCTAAGCTGCTTGCCGGGTTTGGGTGTAGGATGGGGTTACGTGCTTATTGGCTTTTTTTTTTTTTTTTAATTGGAAGTTGAGGGTTCGACAGAGTCGGCACGATGGAGCCTTTTCTTGCATCGACGCATACATCCATTTGTAATTCAAAATCGAGGCCTCGACAGTTGTTGGACGAAGTTGACACAACGGAGCCTTTTTTTTCTTGCTCAATTGATCAATTAATCCATTGATTGATCAATCAATGAATCAATCAATCATTTTTTCTTTCTCTATGCCTGTTTTCTCTCTCTCTCTCTCTCTCTCTCTCTCTCTCTCTCTCTCTCTCTCTCTCTCTCTCTCTCTCTCTCTCTCTCTCTCTTTTCAATCAATCAATGAATTTTATCGATTAATTGGTTGATTGTTTTTCCATGGTGGTTTCCGCATGTACTCAAATGAATATGGTGGTCGACAACCAGGTAGATAGACCGGTGGAAGGAATATCATGGTCCAATGTGTTGAGGCAAATTCGGGCACGTAGTGATGGGCATTGTCTATCTGGAAAATGGCTCGCCGATGCTCGCACGGAGAGGAAATATCTTGAGGAATGTAGTGAACAATACGAGTATGGCATGGCTTCGCAAATTCATGACATGGAGCAGCGTCTGCTTCAGCGTAAGTCTGAAGTGCCTTATGGTATTGCAGGTAAGGTTCCGAACGATTCCGCATTAAAAGGAGAATGCGGCCGCTATATGATTGACAATGAAGGCCTTCGGTGGACTCAGGACGAGTTGCTTGGGATGTTGAAGAAAAAGGAGGCGGAAGTGACTGCCCTGAGGATTGCATTCGCAAAAATTGAGGTGAATGCAGGATCAGTGCTTGAAAGTTTCCTGGAAAGGAAACGAAGTGAAGAGGTGAGAGATTGGTCTTTGTCCAGTAGTGTGGATGGGAAGAAGGAGGAGAATGTTGGCGAGGATATTGCCAGCCAACTTACGTCTTTAATCCAATCCTCGATTAGAAATGACTTGCTTGACCAAGTTGCTGAGCTTAGTACTAAAGTTGATCTGCATCTGTTCCAAGTGTGTGAGTATTTGCATCTTTGTTGTGAAACAGCCGAGAGTGGATTGAGAAAATTGTTGTCGGCAGGTGTCTTGTCATCGATTGATCCTTCTTTTACATCAGAGGTGTTTGAGCTTCCATTAGGTCGAACTTTCGAAGAGCTTCCGAAAAGTTGTTTGATTGGTATGTTGCAATCATTGCGAACAGTTGGTATGGAGCTTGCACATAGAAATGCGCTTTTGCAGGTGCAAAATACAATGAGCTTTCCGGTAAGCGATAGCCTGTTGAGAGCGACAGTTATTACTCTCGGAGAATTGTACAAGGACGCACGAGAAGAGTTAATGGACACTACGTATCAACATAGTTTCTCGGATCAGTGCGGTGAGGGACTGACGGATAGCATGATGGCGAGGTACAAGGAACAAATGTATAGCCTCAGAATTTTGTTATCAAATATTATTGTTGCTCATTCGCCGGTGCGAGTTATGAAGGAGATGAGTCGTGTAAAAAAGGAATAGAATGCTCTCGCCAGCATAAATAAAAAGCATGAGACCAGATTGCATGAGGTGGTGCTTGCACTGGTTGAAGCTCTGCGGCGTCGATGTCCAAAGTGTGGTCGCCTAAGCTATTTAACAAAGGGGGACTATAGAAAGATAAATGATTTGACGGTTGTTACACCTAAATGTGACAACACGACAAACCTTTATCCCCATGGAGATGTCGTTGTTGATGATGACGAGAAATTCGCAATGGAAGAAAGGAGAAAGCAGCTTCGTGGGGAGGAGGATGTAAATGCATAGTTTTTTTTTTTTTTTTTGTGGTCGCATATGCATTAACTGGTGTTCGAGTGAGAATAGTAGGAGAGGGAGGAGTTAGAGTGGGAGGGAGAACGGGGACGTGGGGTAGGATGACAAGCAGGAATGCGTCCTTTCACATTTGTTCATTTCATTAATGATGATGACACTTGAATGGGTTTATGATAAAATGCTTAAATTGTATATCTTTTGACATTTTTATTTGAGTTTTCTCGCTCTTGTCTCTGCTTCTGTTTCTCTGTCTCTCTCTTTCTCTCTCTTTTTCTCTCTCTCTCTCCCTCTCTGTCTCTCTGTCTCTCTCTTTCTCTATCTCTCCCTCTTTCTCTCTCTCTCTGTGTCTTTCTTTTTTCTTCTTCTGTTTCTTTCTTTCTCTCTCTCTTCTATTTGTTTCAACATTCCTTCTTTGACAACTATTTTTACATTTCCATGAAAATATTATTGATGGATATAAATAAAGGTTGCTTCAGTCATTTGTTCATATGTTATCTCATGTTGTATGTGTTCATTGTTATAAACATTATGTTATTCTTTAGAGACTTACATTTTTTTAATTTTTTTTTTCAATATTGTTTTGTTCTCTGTGTTCGCTCTCATAGTGTTCTACCTTTTTTTTTTTTTTTCCATCTTTTTTTTTTTTT